ACGGGCACATCTTTCAGACATTATTGAGACATCATCCTCATCTCCGGTTATCTCCCTTGCTGCTGATGTTTCAGGGTTATCTGCCTCTGATTTTGAGATTGCTCTTCGCTACTTGCTAGACCGTCGAGCCTCCACTTCTACTACAGGTGCACCCCATTCTTCCTTTACCAATTCAGGTAACTTGGTTTCTTCCCTATATGCATTTCTCTCTTGTACGACTGTCCCATGGATTATTGATTCTGGTGCTTCCGACCATATGTCTGGCTCCTTTAATGTATTTTCAAAGTATAACCCCTCCTCAGGTCAGGAAAAAGTGTGAATTGCAAATGGTACTATTTCATCTGTGTCAGAGAAAGGTTTACTTCATGTCACCTTTTCCCTTCATTTGTCTTCTGTCCTCCATGTTCCCAATTTTAGTGTTTATCTTTGAGTTGTATTACCCGTGGCTTAAATTGTAGCGTGACATTTTTTCCTGATCATTGTCTTTTTCAATACCTTATCTTGAGGAAGATGATTAGCAATGGCAGAGAGGAACATGGGCTCTACATTCTGGATCAGACCGACAAGCTGGCTCATTCATCTATTTAGTTAACCATCTACCAAGGAAGACATTTGGCGGTGGCACCGTCGCTTAGGACATCCCTTTTTTTTATTACTTAAGCATTTATTTTCCTCTATTTTTTAGAAAAATAATGTGTCAAATTTTCAATGTGAGTCTTGTCAACTTAGAAAACAACACAGAGCCTCTTTTGCTCCTTCTATTAATAAAAGCTTAGTTCCCTTTTCTTTGATTCATTCTGATTTATGGGGTTCCTCCCGTTTTGTGTCTTTAACCGGTCACAAATGGTTTATTACCTTCATAGATGATTGTTCTAGGGCCACTTGGGTATATTTGCTTAAAGATAAACGTGAGGTGTTTTTTGTGTTTCAAAGCTTCCATAAAATGGTTTGTACTTAGTTTGGGGCGGTGGTCAAAATTCTACGTTTTGATAATGAGGGGAATATATTGACTCTGGTCTTGCCACTTACTTTGCCACTCATGGCATTCTTTACCAGACTTCCTGCACTAATATCTCTCAACAAAACGGTTTTGCAGAATGCAAAAATCGTCATCTCCTTGATGTTGTCCGTTATCTCCTTTGAGATGCAGGTTCCTCAATCCTATTAGGGGGAAGCGGTTCTCACTGCCGCTTATTTGATTAATCGTCTTCCTACCTAAGTTCTTCAAAAAACAAACACCTCTTTAAGTTTTGTTCGGGTCTACCTCTTCTGGGTTCTCTTTTTCTCCTAAGACCTTTGAATGTATTTGCTTTGTCCATAATCATTCACCCCCTCGTGGTAAATTAGATCCTCAGTCTTTTAAGTGTGTCTTCTTGGGTTATTCTGCCACCAAAAAGAGTTATAAGCATTATCATCCTCCCACTCGCAAATGGTTTGTCTCAATGGATGTTACTTTCTTTGAGTCTTAACCTTATTTTTTGACCTCCCCGGTATCACAGTCCTCCCTTCAGAGGGAGCCTTGGTGTGAAGAGATTCTTGTTCCACTTTTGCCAGGGGTTTGCACCAATAGGGGATGATAAGCCAGCAGTTGTTGAGGAAAAGGATGCAAGCAAAGTTTACATCCGGGACAAGGACAGACATTAAGTCACTTGGATGCAAGAGCCTAGTTTCTCTCCGTTCCTGCCAACTTCTTTTCCGGATGAGTGTCCAGAGTCAACCCCCTCTCATTAGAATCCAGGTAATTCTGATTCTAGTGCTCATATTCCTGATTTTTCAAATCTTGATGTTCCCATTGCTAATAGGAAGGATGTTAGGTCATGAACTTAGCATCATATTACTAATCACGTCTCTTATGCTAATCTGTCTTTGTCATATAAAGCCTGTATGTCTAAAGTGTCTTTTGTGAGTCTACCTACCAGTTTTCAGGATGCTCTCTCTATTCCTGAATGGAAGCATGACATGATGGAAGAGATGAGAGCTCTCAACAAAAGTGGCACTTGGGAGTTAGTGGAGTTACCTAGAGGCAAACATCTAGTTGGGTGTAAGTAGGTGTACACGGTAAAATACAAAACAGATGGTTCCATACAACGATAGAAAGCAAGATTGGTTTCTAAGGGCTTCACTCAAACTTATGTGATAGATTACCATGAGACATTTGCACCGGTTGCTAAGATGAACTCTTTGAGAATCTTATTTTCTCTTGTTGCAAATTTGAATTGGTCACTTCATCAGTTTGATGTTAAGAATGTCTTCCTACATGCAGATCTAGCAGAAGAGGTCTATATGGAAATTCTCCCTGGTTTTACGGATGCTAAGTCCAAAAGTAAAGTATGCAGGCTCCGAAAGTCACTTTACGGACTAAAACAGTCTCCTAGGACTTGGTTTGAAAGGTTTGCTAAAGCTATGCTGAAATATGGGTTCAAACAGTGTCAAGCTAATCACACCTTGTTTGTGAAACACTCCTTACAGGGTAAGATTACAGCTCTTATTGTTTATGTTGATGATATTGTTTTGACAGGGGATGGTATTGAGGAGATCTTTCTGTTGAAAGAATACTTAGCCAAAGAGTTTAAAATCAAAGATTTGGGTAGTTTAAAGTATTTCTTGCGTATTGAAGTAACTAGGAGCAAGGATGGCATCTTCATATGTCAGAGAAAGTATGTACTTGACTTGGTAAAAGAAACTGGACTGCTTGGAGGTAAACCATGCGATACACCTCGAGAACCAGGCCAGAAACTAAGTAAGGATCAAGAGGGAGCGACAGTGGACAAGGAAAGATACCAGAGACTAGTGGGCAAACTTATATACTTATCCCACTCACGTCTAGGCATTGCCATTGCCGTGAGCATGGTTAGCCAGTTTATGCATGCTCCTAGAACTTCCCACTTAGAGGCAATTATGAGAATCCTGAGATACCTGAAGTCTTCTCTTGGGAAGAGTTTATTTCTCAAAACATTGCCATTTTGGTGTGGAGACATTTACTGATGCAGATTGGGTTGGATCAGTCACTAACAGATGATCAACTTCCGGATACTGCACATTTGTTGGTGGCAACCTAGTTACATGGCGAAGTAAGAAATAGAATGTGGTTACTAGATCTAGTGCTGAGGCAGAATTTAGGGTGTGTGTGAGTTGCTATGGATTAAACTATTGTTAGGTGATTTGGGGATCCATCAGACCAACTCCATGAGACTATACTGTGACAACAAGGCAGCAATCAACATAGCTCATAATCTAGTTCAATATGATAGAACTAAGCATGTTGAGATTGATAGGCACTTTATCAAGGAAAAACTCACTAGTGGCACCGTATGTATTCCATTTGTGAAGACGGGGGACCAACTAGCGGATGTTCTCACCAAGGGACTAGGGAGCAAACCATTTCCTAGCATTCTCAACAAGTTAGGCATAAGAGATATATTCGCACCAGCTTGAGGGGGAGTGTTAGAATAGGAAATAATATTTAATATTGGTTGTATTTTATTTTATTCTTATTTTACTTCTTTGATTGGTGTAATGTGTAATGGGCTGGCTCATTAATTATGCCTTATGGTACTCATGTAATTACTCATTATTATCAATACAAAAAGGGATGAGGTCTAACTCAATCCATATCTCTTTCTTTTCTGCAAACCTACACTTTGTTAGTTGGGAAGCAACAAAAGAAGGGTATTTCAAGTTCTGGACATCAATACCAAAGCGGCCTTGCAATCAGACGACCATTCTATGACTATATCCAAGTTGGTTACTCAACTAGTGTAGGAATGAAAGAGACTTTTGATGATGGATGTCAATTGTGGCCAAAAGCAAGATTGTGGTCAAGCTCTTTCCATTTGTGATGAAGATATTCCCATCTTTGATCAAGATGTGGAACAAGATTATGATCAACATGTTGCCATTTTCGACGACGATAATGAAGCGTTGGCTTATGTGGAAGTTGATGTTTGTGAACATGAAGAGGAAGTAATGTTTGTATGAAGGAGTTCCAATCTTTGACCACTATAATGATGACGACTTTCTTGTAGAGAGTGAAGGTGTCCTTAGAAATGAAGAAAGTTTTGTAGATGAAGCAAGTTTTGCTCTTACATTGCTTCCCATGAAGGAAGTGATTGCAATCCCACCTTCTATCCCTTTTCTAGATTCCAAAAAATTATTGTGGAGATTCTTGACATCGAAGTTTCATGGATGTTGAATGAACTTTGCTTTCGAGAAATCCCTCTTATGCTATCCTCAAAGCTATTAGTTTCATTGTGTTGATTTAGCACCCGACCTGGTTTCTTGGAGGAAGGATGCATTTATTTTGGGCCCATGCGAGAAGTGTTACTTTGATGACATCTTGCTTACAAAATGACATGCTACATGGGTGGCCTATTCACACCTCGACATGGCTTCGGTTGATGTCCATAAACGATGTTGAATGTATAGATGATGAAAAAGAAGAAGAATGAGAGCGATAGAAAAATGGCTGCTAAAATATTATTGAATCAAAACATAGGGTTCTCCCCTTATACACGCAACTATTTATAATAATAATAGGTGGGCAAATTACATAACTACCCTAACACTTAACACTCCTCAAGTTGGTGCAAATATATTTCTCATGCCTAACTTGCAACAAATAGGATGAAAGATCTTATTATTAAGACCTTTAGTAAACACATCAGCCAATTGATTTTCAGACTTCACAAAAGACATACATATCAATCCTTTTATTCAATTTCTCCTTAATAAAATGTCTATATATCTCAATATGCTTGGTTCGATCATTCTGGACTGGATTGTGGGCAATGTTGATGACAGCTTTGTTATCACAATACAGAGTCATTGGTTCTTGGCAAATGATTCCTATATCCTCCAACAAGGAATGAAGCCACATAAGCTCACATGTGCCATAGCTCAATATTCTGCCTCTGCACTAGACCTGGATACCACTGCTTGTTTCTTGCTAACCCAGGTAACCAAATTTCCCCCACAAAGCCGCAGTAACTAGATGTAGACCGTCAGTCATCCACAGAACTTGCCTGATTTGCATCTGTAAATGTCTCCAACCTTAAGTGGCCATGATTAGAGAACAAAATTCCTTTTCCCGAAGCTAATTTAAAATACCTCAAAATGCGATATACAACATCCAAATGTGTTGTATAAGGATCATGCATAAACTGACTTACGACCCCAACTACATAGGCAAGATCTGGCCAAGTGTGAGATAGATATATAAGCCTTCCCACAAGTCTCTGGTATCTTTCCTTCTCCACAAGCTTACCAATACCATTGTAAAGATGATAATTGGCTTCAATAGGCGAATCAGCAAGTCTACAGCCCAACATGCTAGTTTCCTCAAGAAGATCAAGAATGTACTTCATTTGAGAAATAGAGATGCCTTTATCAGATCTGACAACTTCAATCCCAAAAAAGTACCTCAATGGATTAAGATATTTGATCTCAAACTCCTTGGCCAACTGAATCTTAAGATATGTCACTTCTTCCTTATCATTCCCTGTTACAACTATGTCATCCACATATACAATAAATATAGTTACTTTGTTTGCATTATGTTTGACAAACATGGTGTGATCGGCATTGCTTTGCTTATATCCAAATCTTAACATAGCTTTCAAAAATCTGTCAAACTAGGCTTAGGGCAATTGTCTTAACTATTTCAGAATCTTGGTGGCACATCCATATATACTTCCTTCTCCAAATTACCATAGAGAAATGCATTCTTCACATCTAGTTGTAAAGACCCACCCAAATTAGTAACACATGAAAGAAGGGCTCGAATGGAATTCATCTTTGCTATAGGAGCAAATGTTTCTTGATATCCAATTCCATGTCTTCCTTGGCCACTAATCTTGCTTTGTACTGTTCAATTGTCCCATCTCCTTTTTGCTCAATTGTGAACTCCCATTTACACCCCACTGGTTCTTTTTTTTGTTTTTTCCCATTAGGTAGAGGAACCAACTCCCAAGCATTATTCTTGTTATTCTTGTTGAAAGTCTTCATCTCTTCTACCATAACCGCTTTCCACTTAGGATTATGGATAGTGTAAAATTTGATGTATAGAGAAATAGAGAGAATGAATTATGTATTATTGATTGATATAATGTTCTTGATTGATATTACAAGATTGATTAATTACAATTCCTATACAATCTATATATAGAAGAAAATGTGGTAGTAGGTGTAGTGGAGGTGATAGTGGGTTAGGTGAAGTGGAGTGTGTGGTGAAGTGGAGGTAGGTGAAGTGGAGTGTGTAGTAATACTGATGTATTATTATTGATTGTATTGTTACAAGATTGATTAATTACAATTCCTATACAATCTATATATAGAAGAAAATGTGGTAGTAGGTGTAGTGGAGGTGATAGTGGGTTAGGTGAAGTGGAGTGTGTAGTGGAGTAAGTGAAGGTAAAGATTGATTGATGTATTGATGTATTACAAGATTGATTGATTACAATTCCTATACAATCTATATATAGAAGAAAATGTGGTAGTAGGTGTAGTGGAGGAGATAGTGGGTTAGGTGAAGTGGAGTGTGTAGTGGAGTAAGTGAAGGTAAAGATTGATTGATGTATTGATGTATTACAAGATTGATTGATTACAATTCCTATACAATCTATATATAGAAGAAAATGTGGTAGTAGGTGTAGTGGAGGAGATAGTGGGTTAGGTGAAGTGGAGTGTGTAGTGGAGTAGAGGTAGGTGAAGTGGAGTGTGTAGTAATACTGATGTATTATTATTGATTGTATTGTTACAAGATTGATTAATTACAATTCCTATACAATCTATATATAGAAGAAAATGTGGTAGTAGGTGTAGTGGAGGAGATAGTGGGTTAGGTGAAGTGGAGTGTGTAGTGGAGTAAGTGAAGGTAAAGATTGATTGATGTATTGATGTATTACAAGATTGATTGAATTACAATTCCTATACAATCTATATATAGAAGAAAATGTGGTAGTAGGTGTAGTGGAGGAGATAGTGGGTTAGGTGAAGTGGAGTGTGTAGTGGAGTAAGTGAAGGTAAAGATTGATTGATGTATTGATGTATTACAAGATTGATTGAATTACAATTCCTATACAATCTATATATAGAAGAAAATGTGGTAGTAGGTGTAGTGGAGGAGATAGTGGGTTAGGTGAAGTGGAGTGTGTAGTGGAGTAAGTGAAGGTAAAGATTGATTGATGTATTGATGTATTACAAGATTGATTGAATTACAATTCCTATACAATCTATATATAGAAGAAAATGTGGTAGTAGGTGTAGTGGAGGAGATAGTGGGTTAGGTGAAGTGGAGTGTGTAGTGGAGTAAGTGAAGGTAAAGATTGATTGATGTATTGATGTATTACAAGATTGATTGAATTACAATTCCTATACAATCTATATATAGAAGAAAATGTGGTAGTAGGTGTAGTGGAGGAGATAGTGGGTTAGGTGAAGTGGAGTGTGTAGTGGAGTAAGTGAAGGTAAAGATTGATTGATGTATTGATGTATTACAAGATTGATTGAATTACAATTCCTATACAATCTATATATAGAAGAAAATGTGGTAGTAGGTGTAGTGGAGGAGATAGTGGGTTAGGTGAAGTGGAGTGTGTAGTGGAGTAAGTGAAGGTAAAGATTGATTGATGTATTGATGTATTACAAGATTGATTGAATTACAATTCCTATACAATCTATATATAGAAGAAAATGTGGTAGTAGGTGTAGTGGAGGAGATAGTGGGTTAGGTGAAGTGGAGTGTGTAGTGGAGTAAGTGAAGGTAAAGATTGATTGATGTATTGATGTATTACAAGATTGATTGAATTACAATTCCTATACAATCTATATATAGAAGAAAATGTGGTAGTAGGTGTAGTGGAGGAGATAGTGGGTTAGGTGAAGTGGAGTGTGTAGTGGAGTAAGTGAAGGTAAAGATTGATTGATGTATTGATGTATTACAAGATTGATTGAATTACAATTCCTATACAATCTATATATAGAAGAAAATGTGGTAGTAGGTGTAGTGGAGGAGATAGTGGGTTAGGTGAAGTGGAGTGTGTAGTGGAGTAAGTGAAGGTAAAGATTGATTGATGTATTGATGTATTACAAGATTGATTGAATTACAATTCCTATACAATCTATATATAGAAGAAAATGTGGTAGTAGGTGTAGTGGAGGAGATAGTGGGTTAGGTGAAGTGGAGTGTGTAGTGGAGTAAGTGAAGGTAAAGATTGATTGATGTATTGATGTATTACAAGATTGATTGAATTACAATTCCTATACAATCTATATATAGAAGAAAATGTGGTAGTAGGTGTAGTGGAGGAGATAGTGGGTTAGGTGAAGTGGAGTGTGTAGTGGAGTAAGTGAAGGTAAAGATTGATTGATGTATTGATGTATTACAAGATTGATTGAATTACAATTCCTATACAATCTATATATAGAAGAAAATGTGGTAGTAGGTGTAGTGGAGGAGATAGTGGGTTAGGTGAAGTGGAGTGTGTAGTGGAGTAAGTGAAGGTAAAGATTGATTGATGTATTGATGTATTACAAGATTGATTGAATTACAATTCCTATACAATCTATATATAGAAGAAAATGTGGTAGTAGGTGTAGTGGAGGAGATAGTGGGTTAGGTGAAGTGGAGTGTGTAGTGGAGTAAGTGAAGGTAAAGATTGATTGATGTATTGATGTATTACAAGATTGATTGAATTACAATTCCTATACAATCTATATATAGAAGAAAATGTGGTAGTAGGTGTAGTGGAGGAGATAGTGGGTTAGGTGAAGTGGAGTGTGTAGTGGAGTAAGTGAAGGTAAAGATTGATTGATGTATTGATGTATTACAAGATTGATTGAATTACAATTCCTATACAATCTATATATAGAAGAAAATGTGGTAGTAGGTGTAGTGGAGGAGATAGTGGGTTAGGTGAAGTGGAGTGTGTAGTGGAGTAAGTGAAGGTAAAGATTGATTGATGTATTGATGTATTACAAGATTGATTGAATTACAATTCCTATACAATCTATATATAGAAGAAAATGTGGTAGTAGGTGTAGTGGAGGAGATAGTGGGTTAGGTGAAGTGGAGTGTGTAGTGGAGTAAGTGAAGGTAAAGATTGATTGATGTATTGATGTATTACAAGATTGATTGAATTACAATTCCTATACAATCTATATATAGAAGAAAATGTGGTAGTAGGTGTAGTGGAGGAGATAGTGGGTTAGGTGAAGTGGAGTGTGTAGTGGAGTAAGTGAAGGTAAAGATTGATTGATGTATTGATGTATTACAAGATTGATTGAATTACAATTCCTATACAATCTATATATAGAAGAAAATGTGGTAGTAGGTGTAGTGGAGGAGATAGTGGGTTAGGTGAAGTGGAGTGTGTAGTGGAGTAAGTGAAGGTAAAGATTGATTGATGTATTGATGTATTACAAGATTGATTGAATTACAATTCCTATACAATCTATATATAGAAGAAAATGTGGTAGTAGGTGTAGTGGAGGAGATAGTGGGTTAGGTGAAGTGGAGTGTGTAGTGGAGTAAGTGAAGGTAAAGATTGATTGATGTATTGATGTATTACAAGATTGATTGAATTACAATTCCTATACAATCTATATATAGAAGAAAATGTGGTAGTAGGTGTAGTGGAGGAGATAGTGGGTTAGGTGAAGTGGAGTGTGTAGTGGAGTAAGTGAAGGTAAAGATTGATTGATGTATTGATGTATTACAAGATTGATTGAATTACAATTCCTATACAATCTATATATAGAAGAAAATGTGGTAGTAGGTGTAGTGGAGGAGATAGTGGGTTAGGTGAAGTGGAGTGTGTAGTGGAGTAAGTGAAGGTAAAGATTGATTGATGTATTGATGTATTACAAGATTGATTGAATTACAATTCCTATACAATCTATATATAGAAGAAAATGTGGTAGTAGGTGTAGTGGAGGAGATAGTGGGTTAGGTGAAGTGGAGTGTGTAGTGGAGTAAGTGAAGGTAAAGATTGATTGATGTATTGATGTATTACAAGATTGATTGAATTACAATTCCTATACAATCTATATATAGAAGAAAATGTGGTAGTAGGTGTAGTGGAGGAGATAGTGGGTTAGGTGAAGTGGAGTGTGTAGTGGAGTAAGTGAAGGTAAAGATTGATTGATGTATTGATGTATTACAAGATTGATTGAATTACAATTCCTATACAATCTATATATAGAAGAAAATGTGGTAGTAGGTGTAGTGGAGGAGATAGTGGGTTAGGTGAAGTGGAGTGTGTAGTGGAGTAAGTGAAGGTAAAGATTGATTGATGTATTGATGTATTACAAGATTGATTGAATTACAATTCCTATACAATCTATATATAGAAGAAAATGTGGTAGTAGGTGTAGTGGAGGAGATAGTGGGTTAGGTGAAGTGGAGTGTGTAGTGGAGTAAGTGAAGGTAAAGATTGATTGATGTATTGATGTATTACAAGATTGATTGAATTACAATTCCTATACAATCTATATATAGAAGAAAATGTGGTAGTAGGTGTAGTGGAGGAGATAGTGGGTTAGGTGAAGTGGAGTGTGTAGTGGAGTAAGTGAAGGTAAAGATTGATTGATGTATTGATGTATTACAAGATTGATTGAATTACAATTCCTATACAATCTATATATAGAAGAAAATGTGGTAGTAGGTGTAGTGGAGGAGATAGTGGGTTAGGTGAAGTGGAGTGTGTAGTGGAGTAAGTGAAGGTAAAGATTGATTGATGTATTGATGTATTACAAGATTGATTGAATTACAATTCCTATACAATCTATATATAG